TCTGAATTATGTATGTGTCATAACTTATCATACTATATGGTGTTTCTATTAGTACTGGGGAAAGTTTCAGCTTCATTTATAAAAGGTCCTTTGGCATGTATGAAGGTAGAAAGGAAAGCAGAGTGAGGAGACTACTCCACAGCATAGGGACAGTGACTGAAAAAGCACACTTCCTAGGTCCCATGAGATGGCAAAGTTTAAAAGAGGAACCTGAGGCAAGTCCTCCTTATGGGAGCTTGTTGGATGGGCAGATGTTTCTTGGGAGAAGGATGTCCTCCAGAAACTGGGCATTGTGGTTTAGGTCAGTGTTTTTCTAACTTGGCAAATTTAAAATGTGTGGACTTCAACTCCCAGACTTCTCCAGCTAGAATATTGCAAGCAAGTTCTATGTTCATGCTTCTGGGCACTCCAAAACATTTTTTTTTAAATCAAAAGTGAGGGCTTGCATTGCCATAATTCTTACAAGAGAAAATTAATTCTTACAAAGTGTGACATTTAAAATATAAATGGATAAAATTCCATGGGATATATGAAAATACAGAGATGTCATAATACTTGGTTATATCTTCAGGAAATAGCAATAGCAATAGCACTTAGACTTATATACTGCTTTATAGTGCTTTCCAGCCCTCTCTAAGCGGTTTACAGAATCAGCATTATTGCTTCCAACAATCTGGATCCTCATTTTACCCACTTCGGAAGGATGGAAGGCTGAGTCAACCTGGAGCCTGGTGGGATTTGAACTGCCAAATTGTAGGCAGCTGGGCTGAAGTAGCTTGCAGTACTGCACCCTACCCACTGCGCCACAGAGGCTCCTGTCACCCATCTTAATTTTTTTTCAACATTGTAATATCAGATGCACTATTGTTATTCCTTAGAAATATCCTAAGAGAAAGCAGCTTCCCTGTTTTGTGTGTATATACACACATCTTTCAGGACCTCCTACATTGGAGTGTGTGTGTTTCCCTATTTAAAAGTGATCATTTTCATAATACTGTAGCATTTTATTCAGTAATTATTTTTTAAGCATCAAGATAAATATATAGTTATAATAGCAGTTAACTGTGGACTGATACAGAAATGTCTGGGTCTGCAAATTATTTTCAGGATGGCACCCACCCATTGTTATGCACGTATACTAGTTATTTTAAATACATTTGACATTATAGGAAGCTATCTGTTTCACATGTGGGCAGGCAAGCCTTGCGGAATGTTAATTAAAATAAACGAAGCAGTTGATTTGCATCCATTATTAATAAGTACTCAGACTGAATGCCGTCTTTGGATGCTGTTGCTTCTTCTTCCTTGTCTAGACTAAACTTTAAAATGCCAGAATGAAGCCACCTTCTTGGTTTTGTCATTGGCCAAAAATAAACCCCTCTTGGTACATGTTTCTGATAGTAGCTAACATACCAGCCGATGGGCTGAGTTCTGTTTCTCTCCACATTCACACAGCGTGGTATTACCTGCTAAGAGCCTTCACGGGACGTATTGATTTTACACTTAGGTATGCCAACTCTCAACCTATTCAGGGTCCCCTGAATAGGTCGGATCCTTCAGCCAGATCCTCCTTTAATGTTATTCCTTGCCTGATGGTCTTCTTCCTCCATCTTTTAATTTGATTTTGTTCTTGTGTACCCTCAAGAATGTTTGTTTGTGCCATAAAGTCAAGATCTTGTTGATGACCCAAGCTCTGTAAAGGACCTTGGAATACTCACCTCTAATGATCTAAGTGCTAGAGCCCACTGCAACTACATAGCCAAAAAGGCATTAAGAGTTGTTAACCTAATCCTACGTAGCTTTTTCTCTGGTAATATCACGCTACTAACCAGAGCATACAAAACATTTGCTAGACCAATACTCGAATACAGTTCATCAGTCTGAAACCCTCATTACGTATCTGATATTAGCACAATTGAGAAAGTCCAGAAATATTTCACAAGAAGAGTTCTCCACTACTCTACTCGTTGTAGAATACCTTATGCCACCAGACTTGAAATTCTAGAACTAGAAAACCTTGAATTACGCCGTCTTCGGTCTGACTTAAGCATGGTATATAAAATCATACATTGCAATGTCCTACCTGTCAATGAATACTTCAGCTTCAACCATAACAACACAAGAGCACACAATAGATACAAACTCAAAGTAAACCGCACCAAACTTGATTGCAGGAAATACGACTTCAGCAATAGAGTGGTCAATGTCTGGAATACTCTACCCGACTCTGTAGTCTCTTCCCCAAACCCCAAAAACTTTAACCTTAGACTGTCTACTATTGACCTCACCCCTTTCCTAAGAGGTCTGTAGGGGGCGTGCATAAGCGCACCAACGTGCCTACCGTCCCTGTCCTATTGTTTCTCTTATTCTTTTATTTTTCTTATATGTACCCATTTCATGTATTCACAACTATGTATACACTTATACTTATTATCTTGTAAACAATTGGCAAATCAAATAAATAAATAAAGCTGTTCCTAGATCTGAGTTGGCGGACTTGGGGCCATTCAGAGGATGTCAGGAATCATTCTCTTGCTTAGCTCTCTCAGCGTCTGCTGCTATCGTTCTCTTGATCTTATGTGGAGCAATGCCACCAAGAGGATATATTTTCTCAGTTGGTGTAGGTTTGAGACATCCTGTCCCTGGCGATATCAGCTTGTTTCGCATGCGCAGATGTGCCCCACACTGGAGCAGCATGCTCTGCTGCAGAGACATTCAAGGCCAAAGCTGATGTTTGCAACATAGATGGTTGAGTTCCCTTGATGGTGTTATATGGTCTTAATTCTACAACTGCTACCATAGGATTCCCAGCTAGCTCATCAATAATCGATCCTTGTGCGTCCACTGCTGTATCGTCCGCATAGACAAATAGACATGTGTTGTTGGGAATTGGTTAATCAATTGTATATAAGTTATGCAATGTTGGAAACAATACACTTCCTTGTGGCAGCCGGTCCATCTGCATCTTCCACTTCTGTTCTTACCATTCAATGTCACATAAAATCGCCAGTTCTGAAGGAAGCTGCCTGATGCAGTTGATACAGTTCTGCAAATGATAATAGCCAGACATTTATACCGAACCTACTGAGATTATTCATTTTAGGTAAAATGTAAAAACTGAAAATGAACATGCACCTTACTAGACAACAAACTTAACTCCTTTCAGAATATGTTACTTTTGCCAGCCCTACGATTCTTCTGCATAAAGAATAAGATTTAACAGCATTTAAATGAAATCATACTCATTTAAATAAAAATGAATAAAATCACTTTTCAGAGTGAGTTGGTCAGCATATCAATTTAATAAGTAAATAGTAATTCAGATTTTAGGTGAACATGCAATTGACTGTCGAGCTTTTAGAGCATGTACCTTGATACCTATTGCTCTGTTGTCCTCATTCACCAATTCCAAAATATTTCATCTTCAAGGCTCATAACATTTGCATCAAATCGCAGATAATTAACATTTTATTTTGGTGTCCATTTTTAACTGTGCTTGAAATCCAGGTAATGTTCTAAACTATACATGATTGCCACTTACTGAACGGTCACAAATAGAAGAGTAGAAGTGTGGTTTCCCTTGTTGCCTTCTTTTTTCCCTTTATCTCTTCCTTCACGGAAGTTGAAAGCAATGAAATGAAATGATACAACGTTCAGCAAGCTGGCTTTGAGGAATTGTACTACTTTTTCCCATCAGTCTCATATTATCTCCTTGCAACACAGCACTCTTTGGCAATGGCCACAAAGGAGGAAGATTACAACCGAATGCAGGGGTTTTGTTTCGTTTCTTACCAATTTTATGTCAGATAATACCTTACTAGAAAATTATAGTGTCATGCAGATTTAGTTCTCTCCTCTGAGCAACTTAATTGAAGTAACTCATAGAGCCAGAATTGTGTAGATGGCATAATCACTTTTTGCCTGGATTTTTAGCTCCCTTCCAGTCCATCCCGAAGGCAATGACCAAATAGATTCTGTGTTGTTTTGCAGCTATTTACTCTTCATAGAGACCATTAAATCTCTTCATGTAGATAATAGAAAAGAAAGAAAAGTCACTGCAGTAATAACAAGTACTAGATATAATTAAAATATTGGTGAACCATTTTTGAATAATATATATCATATCAACCTACAGCGTATGGATATTACATTTCCCATAAAAGTGAATGCAGGTTCTGTCTGTACATTATGGGATTTTTGTTTAACAGGTGATCTCAGGTGCAATCAATCGTATCTGGGGTTCTGAAGGCTTTTCCTAAGACCTTGAGTGTCTGTAGTTGTTGGACTATCCCAGGCAGATTTAAATGCTTTTAATATGAAGGCAGCTTGATGTTCATTTGTTTGTTTGTTTGTATATATCCCACCTTTAAAATTGTACAATAATTATGAATTCATAGCTAAGGCAGGACTTGAACTTACGGTTTCTTGCTTTCTAGCCTGGTGCCTTAACCACTAGACCAAACCGGTTTTCTAAATGTACATTTATGTCTTATGTCCTGAAACCCCTTTTGTTGTTAGTCCTTTAAAGCAAAAGAAGGGGATGATTCTAGAAAGAAAGCAAGGAACGGTTCAGAAACTGTCCATCATAAAGCTTTTCCTGTAGCCACCTATTTTTTATAGATTCATATTTTCTTCCAGGCTAATATTTATATTTTTGTTTTGCTTTGCTTTGTAATCATACTTACATTAGTGGTATAATAATTAGTAGTTGTATAGTAGTTAGCTATACAATTCAGTCACTTTACAATCCCAGCATAGAGATAGTTCACAGAAATTTATAGCTTGGTTTGTAAGTTAAGGGAGATAAATACCAGGGGGAGAAAGATATTGAGAATATTCCGCAGAAGCTTAACATTTTTTAAAAAACCATTTGTTTCTATAAATTCTGTCTTTTAAGCCAGCAGAATGAATGGCTTCAAGTGGCACATATTAAACAATCACATTTTTCTATCATTGTTGATTATTTTTAGAATGGGTAACATCTTTCTTTGGGTTTCTAGGAAAACATTCTCACAGACGACATCAGAATATCAGATTGGAAAGAGAAGGTTTTCCAATCTCATTGTGTTTTGCTGGCAAAAAGCTGCAAGGCTGCAATGGAGCTGGCAAAGCATGCTGTAGGGATTCAGAAGATGGCGTTTAAGTATGGAAAGCACATGTCTATGTGTCACAAGGTAGGATTTCTCTCTTCTTTAAAAGTTTCCCGAATGGCCAAGCAGCCAGCATCCTTTTTCAAGAAGCATGTCTTTCTGTAGATAATATGTTTCTTAAAAATGTGCGTGCACCCGTGCACGCACACACATACATTTAGTTCATTTGTGACTAAACTGCACGGAAAAATACTTATATGAAGTATTTAGCATATCACAGCATTCATTTCCCTGTACTAAGTTGATTCGATATATACTTACAGCCTTTAAAACAGCTGTCAAAGTAGCCAACTAATCCCAGGAAGCTAATGTGAGTGAATAGGAGGAGCGAGCAGAAGGTTCATAGGGAGCTCAGTATGGAATTAGAGAGATTTGGGGAGTTATGATAGCTGCCTGAGCATCTGTGGAAGGGGACAAAAGAAAGTACTTGGCTGCGCTGGAATGTATTTATCTAGAAAATCGCATCCCATTTGTTCATAGTATGTATGGCAAGTAATAACTGTAATGTTAACAACAAACAAATGAAACCATCAGTATAAAGATTCAATTAAAATATTAGAATAATCATATCTCAATAGCTGTGTAAAGATCAGCTGACGTTTGAATGAGTGTTGGAGGTGTTGGCCATTTCCAAAAGAATGGTTCTTCATGAAGTAATTTCTGCCCTTATTTGGTGATTTTTTAACAGACACTTGCTCCAATATAGTATGCACTTACCCACCCACTCCCAATTTGGTAAGTAAGAGGCCAAAGCAACCTGAGGTTGAAAGGTTTAATTATAAAACAGGGAGAGAGAAAAAGGAATGACTGTGACTAAATGGAACCATTTCTCTTCTACTCTTGCTGTTCAGCCCTCCTGTTGCTCTGACAGCGGAGGCCTTTCTCTTCCTTTCCCAAGCAGGCATTGGGGAGGGATAGATGGCTAACATCACATTTTAACTTAGTCTTGGGAGCCAAAATAAGGGGACTGCAGGATTTGCAGCTGCGTTGGTTATTATCATCACAACAGGCCCCTGGCTGCAGTCACCTTCCCAATTTTCTATGCTGCCAGTTCTCTATTCTTGTTGAATTAGTAGCTGTATGTGATATTGCCTCCACCTTTGAATGCTCAAGGTTGAGCAGACTAGGGAAGAGAAGCCAAACAGGGCTGATGAGAGACAATGTTGTTTGCTGCAGGCATTGACAGAAGAGAGATTGGTCAAATCTACCCATGTAAGGCATAGACAGTCTCCTCTTCAGATATCTTGAATGGGACATAACTTGGAGTTTAGAGCTACCATATTTCGACTATATTCTGGACGATCATTAGATGGCAACAATGAGATAGAAATGTCTAATGTCTGGATTTTTGCAGCCCAGATTTGGAAGCTTCAATAAATGACAATAATACCAAAATTTCCCTTTCTTAATTGCTCCACTGCCCTACATGCTGGGAAGAACCAAAGTTATATAGGTGAAAATATATAAGATTGTGTCAGACAGAAAAGGTTGCTGCTTACTTTATATTTGTTCATTTATTTATTTTTATTAAATTTATATGCTGCCCATCTCGCTATCAAGGGACTCTGGATAGCTTACAATATAATAAAAACAACAATATAGAAATAAATTCTTTATTTGAATGCTTGAACTTTTGAATTAGTACTTGAGTTTGATTAAATGTGCATTGTAACATTTTATCCAGAAGCCTCTGGGCAGAATAGTTCTCAGTCACCTAGTTTAGTATGGTATATATGCGTGTGTGTGTGTGTGTATGTGTTTGTCTGATTTATTTTGGCCATGTCATGCATGCAAATTCATTGGAGAAGTCAGTGACGCTATGATTGGTTAGTGGCTCAAGAAGAAGGGGCAAGCAAAGAATTTGCTGGCTTGATACCATCAAAGGTGATACAAAGATGAACACCGAACAACTAAAAGAAGCTGTGCTTGACAGGATAGCATGGAAAGCACTTGCTATAAAGTCACCAAGAGTCAGACCTGACTGTTGAAAGTAACAAACTACAGAATGTGTGGTGAAATAAGAAAAAATAGGGTCAAATAAGAATGGATGGATGATAAGTGAATATAGATTGAACACAAACTTATGCAACCGGTAGAAGAGGAATATGTTGAGGAGGTTTGTCATATAAAGACAATGAATGAGGGCCAAACAAATGTATGAAGTAGGAGAAAGTTGAGAGAAAGTGGGAGAATGAGACAATCATGTTTGGATGGGATTGATGTGATCCTCAAAATGAGAGATGAGTTGATTAAAGAAGAAAAGGCAGTTTATAGATTAGTGTGTAGACATGATAGAAGCAAGGTTGGAAGTTATAGATATAATGAACGGTAAGTTGGAGTAAGATTGGTTTAGTTAAATTTCCACTTTGCTCTTCTGCCCTTGTTTTTGACTTTTCTGCACTTTGTATCATGTTGCTTAACCTGAAGAGAATAGCCCACAAATATATAGATGACAACATTGGTGAGTTGATTCAAATCTCAGATGATCTCCAGTTGTCTATATAGTACTTTCTCTCTGATTAATGAATAATTGACATTCACTCCTATTCAAGGATAAAATAGAAATTAACCATCTTTTCAGCCCAGGGTATCCCCATAAAAAAAAAGTCACTTCAAATTTCACCAGATTTGGTTTACTTTTTAAAGTTCACTTTGTGTCCTACAAATCCAAACCACCAACATTTGAAGTAAAATTATGTATATGGAGGCAATGTCTTGGTAGGAACAGAATCTAACTTCCATCCCTGGTAGTTACAGAGGTCCTATTCTATTTATATAGTATTGTGCATGTTCAGCTTCTCGCATGCTTCTTCAAAATATGCTTCTTGTTAGATTTTAATTGAATAGACATAGGACAGCTTGAAAACCCCTTAATAGTGTTGGTACAAAGCATTTTATCTTGTTTTTTGCAATCTTCATGTAATATTAGTTGTTGTTAAATGATTTCCTACTCTTAACTTCATGATTTTAATCCCCTTCTTTCAGCTAAATGCTGATATTCAACCGTTTATCGATGGAAATTCAAATGAATCCCTGCCATTTAACTTAAATTCTGCTCCTGTAGTATTCCATCAAGAGTTTGTTGGAAGAGAAGTCTGGATTAAGCAAATTAAAGAGGTAAATAGGTCAATTACATCTATAGTGGCTATGTTTGTACATCTTACAAAATCATAATCATCCCTTCATATTAAATTGTTTTTAAAAACCATAGTTAACATTAACCACAGCTATAGAGTCTGAATCCAACTATTCAGTTTGATAAAAAGTATTGTTGTTATAATTCTCTTTTTTCTTCCATTTGAAGAACACTAAGCACTTATAAAAAGAATCAGTTTTGCTATTTCTGCATGTTTATTATTTAGTAGAACTAGAAATTAAATGTGCTACTGTTGAATGTGTTTAAGTGCATAAAGTCTATGATTCTTATGGTAATTTCCTTTTAAAATTCATCCGGTTAGACTCAATTTTATTAAAATACAAAAATAAATGTAATTTTAAATATGCTTGCCTTCCCTACAGTTTTAGTTTTACAATAGTTGAATATTTCTAGCACAAAGCAGAGGGAATGAGCTGCTCATGCATATATGATTATAATTCAAAACACAGCTGGTTGGGCACGTGTTAGCCGACTGGCTTTGATATTATTGCTTATCTTATGATTGTGGTTCCTTCCCAAAAGCTATCTTAATAGAAGCATTTTAATGTAAGCCTCGATATAAGTCCTTTAACACAGAGGTCTCCAACCTTGGCAACTTTAAGACTTGTGGACTTCAACTCCCAGAATTCTCCAGCCAGCTCTGCTGGCTGGAGAATTCTGGGAGTTGAAGTCCACAAGTCTTAAAGTTGCCAAGGTTGGAGACCTCTGCTTTAACACATGACTCTTTCTTCAATGGATAGTTTAAATAGGAAATAGAGTGAAGCACCCCACCAGCAAGCACCCCTTCCTTCTTTTCTTCCCAGGGAACCCTTCGAAAAGTTCGACGGTGTGTATTTTCTACATTGCAAGCCCTGTCTTTCTGTAAGGCTGATCCTTCAGAGCTATATTTGCTACTATGGTTTACATTCAGAGGTGGATGTAATTTGCTTGCTCTCATTCTTTCTCATGAGACTGTAATTGCATAGAGGAAAGTAATGCAGAATATGGCTAAGGGCCATGCTTCATTGATCCATAAACTCATCACAGTCTTTCTCAGAAGCATAAGAAATAATTCCACTTGAGGGGTAGTTATAAGAGCTAGCTCCTTTGTACAGGGTGTTTCATGTCCACTCTCTTAAAGATGTCAGTAGAACATAAACTAGTAGACATCTGACAAGCCAAATGTGAGTTCTTAAACCTGATGACAAAACATATGGGTTTTCTATTTAGCACAGAGACGCGTTGGCTCAGTGGTTAAAGAAGCTGAGCTTGTCAGCTGGAGAAGTTTGAGACCCGAGCTTCGCGCAAGGGCACCCCATTACTTGCTCCAGCTCCTGCCCACCTAGCATTTGGAAAGCATATAAATGAGAGTAGATTAATATGTACCACTGTGGTGGGGAGGTAACAGTGTTCTGTATGCCTTTGGCGTATAGCCTAGCTGTGATGGACACATGACCATGGAAATTGTCTTCAGACAATGCTGCTCCCTCGACCAAGAAACAGAGATGAGTTGGACATGACTGACAGAAAACTTTTACCTATTTAGCACAAAATGTTAGAGTTTTCTTCAAGTTTTGTGCAGCTTATGATTTACAGGCTTGTAATAATATAATTTTATTTGTTTTTCTTACATGGTTTAAGACTCAGGGCAAAGAAGATTTAATAGACTATAGCAAGGTGAGTAGCTAAAATAGGTCTTCATTCTAAAGACTTGTTAACTTTTATGTTTGAAGGAATATATGAACGAGCCTTGCTATTACTTTTATAGTATTTCCATCTCAGATTTCAATCACAAATTGCCTCGTAAAGCAGCTTATAACAATTACAGTACAATGTGTGTGATACAGGTATATAAACTGAAATAATGGGGCAGGATTGGATTTTCAGCCGAGTCTGATTTCAGGCATGATAGACTCAGAACTGGATGCACTTACAAAGGAGCACAGCAATCAGGTGTACAGCCAGCAAATATTCCTATATCCAAGTGTGTTTCTTATTGCTCCTGTGTATTACTGATGCAATTATTGTTGTTCTTGTTTTTAGAAGGCTTATTAGGATTAGATTTGAGAGCCTTAGGCTAATTATATTCTAATAACTTACTTTTGGGGAACCTTTGTAACTTCAACTTATATGCATCGCTACCAGACATATTCTCTGCTAATTATATTTGCCAGTCCCCTATCCCAGAATTTAACTGTAACAAAAGAGTGGTTATAGGAAGAGCTTCCACTAGGTTGGACTTGCCTGAATGGACATAAGCATTAACAAAAATCTGCTGCTTCACAAAATTTGGTAATGGAACCATGTTGCTGAATCTCATTTGAAAGTCTCACTTTCTAGATTCCCCAGAGAAAAGGGATGATTTGCATGGATATCTGGTTGTTGCAGATCAACCTGCTGCTATTTTTGTGACTCTTTCTTATTGTTAATTTTGCCTTTAAGTGCTACACTTAAGGACACCTGGAAGACAGACAGAAGGCAAGTGTTTGAGCCCTAATTATCAAGACTAACGGATCAATAGAACTGTGGATTCTATAATGGCCTTAAGGCTTGCTGAATTTGCTAGTATAGCCAGATGATACCCAGGTAGTCCTCGATTTGCAATTCTTTTTGTGATTGTTCAAAGTTAAAACAGCACTGAAAAAGTGACTTATGACCTTTTTTCACACTTGCAACCGTTGCAGCATCCCCGTGGCCATATAATCAGAATTGAGGCACTTGGCAACTGGTTCATATTTATGATGGTTGCAGTGTTCCAAAGTCATGTGATCACTTTTTGCAACCTTCTGACAAGCAAAGACAAATGGGGAAGCCAGATTCATTTAACAACCTTGTTACTAACTAAACAACTGGGAAGAAAGGTTATAAAATAAGGCAAAACTCACTTCAAAATTGTTTTGCTTAGCAACGGAAAATTTGGGCTCGGATGTGGTCATAAGTCAAGGGCTACCTGTAGAAATTTTGATCCTGTGCTTATCAATATCCAAACGATATCCTCTGTAAGTACACCCTGAAAACTATAAATAAGTCCTTGAGAAGGCCACCGTAGTGAACTGTAATGTGAATGCCTTGAGTAAATCTTTTCTGCCCTATATACAAAATGTGCTTCATATATTAGTTAGATGTACCATCCCAAGTATAGCATTTATAGGAATGTATGAAATATAATACTTTTAAACAAGGACATTTAGTTAGGACTATTGTTTTTGTCACTTTGCTTGAGTTTTATGTATCTTAAGGTTCAAACTCTGTCTAATACTGTAGGTTTGTATTTCTTACTAATGTTTAATTGTCTGGTTTAAACCTTGTTTGTTAGTTTGTTTAATTTATATTGCCACCTATTTGCCCATGGCAATTTGAGGTGGCTTACAGAATGTAAAACCATATTTAAAATAAAAAACAATAAAACTAACAAAAAGAATCAAATAAATTAATAAAGTACAATAGAAAAAAATTTGGAAAAAAATAAATAAAAAAATCATCCCCAACTCCCACCCCCCGCCCCGATGACCGCAGATCCCACAAGCCATTTGATGGGCTCCATCCCGCTCGGTTCCCCAGGCCCACTGGCAGAACCAGGTCTTCAGTGCCTTCTGGAAGAGTGCTAGAGAGGAGACCATTCTAATCTCTGGGGGAATGATATTCCAGAGAGAGGAAGCCACCACGGAGAAGGCCCTTCTTCTGGGTCTCACTTGTTGATGGAAGTTGAAGCGATTTTACAATTCTTTTTTTTTAACCATTAACATTTTTATTGGGTTGTAAAGAATTATAAAATACAAAATACAAAGTAAATAGGAAAGCACTGGAGAGGGGAAAGGGAAGGAGAAGTGAGAAAGTTGAGAAAAAAAAGAAAAAGAAACATTGACTTCTGACTCGCTCTGTTACAGTAAAATACATTAACATCACATCACAACTTTTTACTTTTTCATAAGCCATTTCTATAAAGATCTTATCAGTATAATCGTGAAAAACTCAAAGTCAGAGTTTCATTCTTTTCCACATCAAGCACGAAGTTCAGTCTCCATGGGGAAACAAAACTTATGTTCTTTTCTTTAATCAAAGTGGTCAATTTTGCCATTTCAGCCAACTCCATCAACTTCTGCAACCATTTGTCCATAGTAGGAATCGAAGCGTCCTTCCATTTTTGTGCATACAATATATATGCTGTCAACATATATAATAACAAAGTTCCAAATTTTTTCTCTAGTTCTTTTTCCATTAAACCCAAAAGAAAAAGTTCTGGTTTCATTTTAAATCTACATTTTCAAAAAAATTGTATTAAAATATGAATCATACTTCAATATTTTTTTTTTGCTTTATCACATGTCCACCATAGATGATAAAAAGTCCCCTCTTTACTTTTATACTTCCAGCATTCATTTGACATACCTTTATACATTTTAGATAACTTATCTGGTGTTAAATACCAAAATTTTGCAATTTTACAACTCTTATTATGGGGCGGGAAGAAAGCATACTTAAATTTAAAATACACATGGGGAATCAATGAGATTCATAATCTATATGGATAGTAAACATGTTGAAATTGGGATGGAACGTCTGTGTTACGATTAATAATGATAACACTGTATTGTTCTATAAAATACCCTGCTATTGTTCTCACAACAAAAATAAAGGAAAGGGAAACTGTTAACTCTGCACAGTTAATCACAGTAAAGATTACTTGAGACTGTAATCAATCCTAGCATCTATTTTCAGTTTGATACACATGATGCTATTGTGGGAGATACATTGGGATCTAGAGTTTCTCTTGGCAGGAATGCCAAATATGTCAATAACCAACTGCTACCTTACAATAAACATGAGAAACTCAAAGCCAGGTGTCCATTAAGCTGAAAAAGGCAGGAAAAGAGGTACTGGCTTAAATAGGGAAGCTGTGAATAAGTGTTGCACCTACATTTTATAGAAGGCAGTCAATTAATTTAACTGGCTTCAGTCTAGCGTGCAATAAACATTCTTAATTAGATCTGCCATGTCAAATGTCCAGGTAGTTTCTGCTGAATCAGAGCTGGTTCAAGGAGAGACCCGAGAGCTAGTTTGTCCCATGCTGAAGTTCTTCCATAATATAGAATTGTTTAAATTAACAAGTTCTGACTTGAATTGTCCACTTTACATTTACTAAAATGTAAAGTTCCATAGCTCTTTCATACCAACGTGTCCTTTGCATTCTGCAGGATCCTTTTTTTGTATATGATTTTGGCTTACTTCAAAAGCCCACTTTAGTTACTACTATGAGAAGCCATTTATTGATATTTAAATATTAAAACTAATCAAATATTCTAGAGAACTGTGACCATATGAAAACCAATTATCTTTGATATGTTAATATCCTATTCTGGAAGGGGATTATTCTTTGGACTCCCATGAACAAAAAGGAATTAAAAAATATAGGTTAAATGCAAAAACATTAGAAAGAGTGTTTGAAATCGCTCTGCTGAAGTGTAAGTCCTCAAAACTTGTATACTGCCTGTGCAGATGTAGTCTTTTCAAATGTAGTGTTGTCTTCTGATCAGAAATTAAGAAAAAGAACAATACTGGTAATAGCTATATATAAGGAAATGATAACGGCTTCCTGAAAATGGCCTGATACAAATAAATGTAAATAAATACAACAAATATTGCTTGGGCTTACATAGTATCTTGAATTGAAAGCATTTTAATTCATGGGAGAAATGTTATTTGCATGATTAAATAGAAAGTTTCAGCACCACTAGTCTCTTAATCTGTAGCAACAATCGAATTACTGATTATTACTCAAAATAGTGATGTGTTAGTACCTTCATTTCCACATTAGCTATTCCAGCTGTGTCGGCCATGCAAAAATTATGGCTACTTTTTTAAAAAAATGCAGTGATTCAAAAGGTGCTTTGTTTGCATTAATATTTTAAATACATGTTTATTACTCTTCTTCGAGACAAGCACTAAACCCATCTTACAAGCAGCCTAAACAACAACAAACAAAGGGGCGGGGAAACGGGGTCACAATTGTGAAGCATCAGGGAGAAAGCCAAGTCTTTCCTGTCATGTGACACAGCCACATCACCATCATAGCTACCAGATAAGTATTTGGGTCCAGGTCTCCAAGCAGAGATTGACTTAAGAGCCAAACAGGTAAAGAGGGAGAATTCATTTTGAAGTGGTTTTGGAAGACTGTGCCCAGAGAGCTGAAGGGAAGGGTTGTATCCTCAGCAACAGCCCAAAATGGCTAATTGATGCCAGGCTGATCTGAATGCCCTACAGTCACTTTAGCAGCATCCCTGATAAAACAGGCAACATAAAACATGTCAGATTGTATCCACAGCTATGTAAAACCGCTATGACTTGTTGCCTGTTTAAACACTACTTAAAGTAAGTACACTAAGGCTGCCTTATGTACATTTGGGGATGAGATGAAGGCATCATGCATCATGGGGACTTAGAAATAAAAAGGTTGCTGAGGATTGTTTGTGCCATGTCTGGGTGCACATGGTGAAAGGCCCTTGGATAAAATGGCAGGTATTTTACTTTTTTGCTTTTATATGATTACACTGTCAGGCCATAATTAAAAGTAATATTAAGAACTTGTATGGTATTCAGTTTCAC